AACACTGAGCTTGTCTTCACCTGACAATTAGGTGAGTTGGCCTGGTCTGAGTACAAGTGACTGGAACATGAAAAAACTCAGCTGCAAAAATGCAGGGCGGTAAACAGCAAAAAAGTTGTTGAAACTTGCACTGTATACCAAAATAACGGCACCATTCAGAATTCAGCCCTTTCCTTTATCCATGAAAAAGCCAGATCCACCTTCAGTGTTATCCCAAGTTGAATTTGTTGTGTGGGCAAATGAGAGGTCTGAGTGAAATTTCACCAAGCTAAAGATGCAGCAAAGGCAAACGTTAACTGTTCACTTTCCATGGCTAATTCCTCAACTTTTCTCAGGTAAAATGTAAGCCCCGAAGTGCCTAGTCTCTGGTTGCCCTGCCTGGATAATCTGAACCAATTTCCTACAGACAGACCTACACATCAGTCCCCGGCACTCACAAAAGCATACTGGGCCTGATGCAAAACTAGTTGGAATTTGTTGTTGTGAACTTGCATTTAGTTACATTGTGCCATGACTATGCGGGTACTGATAGCTGTTGCACAGATCCTGGACCGACACCCCCCCCGTTCTTTGTAGCAGCAGTGGTTTCTCAGGTTCTGATGAGTCTTGTTCCTTATTGTTATATTATTGCTATCTATTTCAGCAGCTCTGAACTGACTCCTGCTGAAGCCAGCAAGTTTAACTATTAGTTTCACAAGGAATGTAATGGTACACTTGAATAGTTTGAACGTATTCCATACCGACTCTGCTAGCTCAGCCTACTTGCTTCCCCTCCTTGTTATGTAGTGGGGTGGTCTGACTGCTACTGGTTTTCCAAGAAACGTGTGCTTGTCCTAAGTTCTCCCTGTGCTTCCTGTTTTGTGGGGTTTTTTGTTGTTTTGGTGTTTGGCTTTTTTTTTTTTAATCCCTTATCTCAACTTGAATGAAAGATGTTGCTAGAATTCTGGGAGATGGACTAAGTGTGTGCGTGCGCACATACACAGAGAAAGCAAGCATGAGATGCCATTTGGCTTTCCTGACCCATTGAAATCGCCACAACCTGAGCATGAAGATTTTTAAAGGAAAAATCTTGTCTTGAATACAGCTGCTTAACTTCTTCGTGCTTTATTTCATGAAGAAAGAGCAACATGTATTTGTCTAGTATTGCTATGGCGACATCCAGTCACAGGTTGGTGAGGGAGGCAGTGACAGTGCAAACACAGAATCTCATGAGATGTGCATGACTTGCTGTTAGATGTGACCTTGCCTAGTTTTGAAAATGATAGTTTTTCTACCAACTGCTCCAATGAAACAGATGGAAAATGGAAATACAGAACGTAAAAAAAAAAAAAAAATCAAGCCAATTGGCAGAGTTAGTCTTATTCTATTTCCTTAACACTTGGTACTGGCTTACAGTGGGCAATCAGAAACTTTTGGTTCCCTACTCAACTGCTATAAATAGTATTTGCAGTGATCTCCAAGCATCTCTCCAAGAATGCTTTCTTCGTGCCAACTGCTGGCTGCATCAGCACTGCATCTTTTGGCACTAAGCAGGTCTTGCTATAAAAATGTGCCTGTCAACACTGAAGAGGGAGTCTAGACTTCAGCTGTGGACAGCTGGTAAAGCGGAAAAATAGCTAGAAATTAACGGGAAGCAGGGCCGGTGTGGCAGCATCTCCTGACTGTATGAAGTTGCTCTTGGTTTTTACCCAGGGAGGACGCCTGCTCTGTATCTACGCTGTGTCCCACTGGTCAGCCCCAGCCACATATGCGCTGCATGGGATATCTTTGGACATTACACCTACTCCACAGGTCCTTAGCTACTTCTAGGGGGCCTTTGTAAGTCATCTTCAACTTGTGCTCCTTCTGATTTCACCAACTCAGCCTGTACTTAGAATCCTGCCCCCTTAGGGAGAAACTCCAGCTTGAAAATACCCCAAATTAGGAGGGAACTACTGCTAGTCAGTCTGCCCAGCATTCTGTCCCACCCAGCTTTTGTTCCACTTCCTTGGAGTTAGGGAAAATGTGAAGGTCTTTTCTAAGACGGCTCTGAAGTAAGCACGCTTGCGTAGCAGACTGGGGAAAAGACGACAAAGCGGGGGCGGGGAGGGGAGCTGCTGCATCATGAAGAAATGTTTTACATATGCAGTAACGGCCACCCTTCACCACAGGATTGCCTTGATTTTGTGAGAGGTTGCTCTGCAAGGACGCGTTAAGGCCTGTTTGGCCCTGAGATTTCCTTCCCGGCACTCCTGACTATACACCAAGGCTCAACCAGCACAAACTGGTCCCAAGGGCAGTGGTGGGGATCCCGCATCAGGAGTATATAGATGCCAGCACTAGATACAGGAGGGGAAAAAGAGAAAGGAAAACCAGTCTATGGGCTTGAAATAAGGGGAGGTGGAAGTAAACTGAAATGCCAGAGGGAAGAACATAGCGTAGGAGATTGTGCAGGCTGAGGAGAGATTAACAGGTATTAGAAGGAAGCAAAAGACATGAGAGAATTCAGATTGATGGCGAGACGAGCAGCAGCAATGTTCTTAGCATGGAGCATGAGGAAGTTGAACACAGATGGCAAGGTATGAATAAGCAGGCAGACCTGAGAAGCTGTAAGGGCAAGATGGAGAAAAACCTTAAAATCCAGAAATGGGAAGAAGGTGAAAAGTATATGAACAAATATCTAAAATAATACTACTTTCCAAATCGGAAATAATTTTGTTTATCTTGATGTTAGAAAGCCATACATAAACTAAGCAAAGGCAGTGTAAGAATAATTTTATTTAGTATTTTGGTAACACAACGATACATCTCAAAATGACCATAAAAGTTAGCTCACTGAACAACTGCATACATTCTAAATGGGTGCTACTAAATTTGAGTAACTTCACAGATTATATGAGGCATTATTTGACCAACAGCTATATAGTGTGTGACCCCCTAACAGACATGAGCAGTGTGAATGGACGTTGCATTAGTAGCCAATGCACAGTTAAAGCTTTTGGAGGAGTACAAAATTGCAAAAGCTATTTTTATTAAAATATGAATCAGTGATCCTTGCGTTAGAATAACTATTCAGTTGTAGGTTACATCCTTTATATTTTTTTGAATAACAATACTTATAAAGGTACAAGGAAAATTGTCTTGCTAGCATTTGATCTAATGTAGATCTCCATATGAAAATGCTGAGTATCTTATAAAGCTTTTCACAGGTATAGGCTAAGTTCTGGGGTATCACAAACTTGTACATAATTCAGAAAAACACCTGAGGTTATTCCTTGTGTATGTAACAGAAAGCTTTTTTAGCTCTAAAAAAAAAGAAGATAGATGCCATATGAAGTCAGAGACTTTAAACAGGTACATTACTACTGTGTGGTGTTAAGGAGCAGTGCTTTTAGGCTTGATTCAGGTTTTTTAAATCAGTAGCGACGCTTCTACTTATGAAGATCAGGACTGTGTCGTTAACCCTGCTCTTCCCAATGTCACTATGAGTTCTGTCACTGCTGCCAACGTGACGAAGACTGGCCATCTATCAGAAGACCCAGTGCAAATCTTCACTTGCTTAGGTCTCAGCAGAGCTACTTTACTGTGTAGCATTGCACCCTTATTTTTCTAGCTCTACTAATACCTTGTTTAGTACTAGGCTGAACACAGCAAGTCATGTGAGGTATTCTCATTTCTGATGGATTTCATATGTAATTGAAGGTGATCTGCAGCTCCAAAGAAGTGCCCAACACTTTTCAAAATCAGGCATTTACATTGGGTTGTTTGCTTTTCAGAGAAATACGTGCAGCTTTGTGTACACAAACATTAGCCAGAGGTTCAAGGCCATAAAGTTTCACGTGTGTGTTTTACTTTAAAATACTAATTTTCAGTTGGTTTTTCTTTTTTTTTAATGTCCTTTGCCTCACAAAAAATTTTAAAGTACTTTTTCTTCAGTTTATGGGTGCATTAATTAGGACATGTAATGTTAGTTTTCCTTCTGAGGCTTTGTTCCAAGCAAATCGTACTGAAAGTACATAGTTGATTTTTGGATATACCTTTTGACTCAACCTAACAGAATGACTAGTGAGCAGGGGTGTATTTGCTGTATGCTTTGCTTGAGGCTTGTGGCAGGGAAGTTTTAATATAAAACCCCCAAATTCTCACTTCTAAATACCTCGGCCCATGTGGATTTTACTGGACTTACCTATGTGCCCAGGGACAGGGATATTAACTCTTTACTAGAGAAATACAAAGTTCAGCTATACGTTTAGAAAACTTTCTAATTCAAATATCTATTTTGTTCATGAATATGCTAATAAAGAGATTAGCATATGGTTTGTATCACCCTTGCCATTTGGTGACATATCAAATCTGATCTTTCAAAACTTAATGCAAAGTTACTGTATTAGGACATTCTGTTCATTCCCATATAAAATATGAATTTTATTTTCAAATGTGCTTATAAGCAAGTCTGGTTTTTAGTCATTTATGTAAACACTTTGGAATGCTAAAGGCAAGACTTACATTGTCGTTTTACCAAAGATCATTTGAACTTTTATTATTGGGGCATTAACGTACACCCCAGCAGTCACAACGCAGGAGCTGCCACGTGCCTATGGCAGTTTCCAGCAGAGTGAATTCAGAGGCAGGCTGCAGTGTTCTGAGCAACCCCCCCCTCTTTTTTTTTTTTCTTTTTTGAATAAGAGATTTCACTTTGGGATGTGGAGTCACTGAAGGCAAACTTAAGAGTTAAGGCACAGAAAGGATTGTACAAACCGTTCCTGGAGATGCTCCAACCAGCCAGTAGATAAAAAGCACTTTACAATGGCGACTTCTGTGAACAAGCTAGAAAAGAAAAGGCTTACTTTCAAATTGCATATGTTTTATCATTTAATATATTAAATTGTTCCCCTGGCTCTCCTTCTAGAATTAAAAAGAGGACTGAATTATACCTTGTGCAGTCTTCCTTCCTGCTCTTGTAACTTGTAATATTGGCTATTTTCCAAAAAGATCACGAGAACAAACTATAACTTATTTAAGTCTAAAAAGAGAGACAGGGATTATCTTTAGATGCAAGGTTTGTTGCTTAGGCATTTGCTGACAGCTGATTTTCATTGGCTGCTTTCTCTGCTTGCAGTCTTTGGACAGCCTGATCGAGCAAATCCATAGTATCTCTCAGCGTAACATTCAAGGTAAATGGCTTAGGTTTAATGGTCAACCCATAGGTAAAGTCCATTTTAGGGTCCTCGTTTGGATTAGCAGTAAAATTGCACTGATGCACCAGTATGGAGGTAAAAAGAAACAGCTGCACCTTGGATAACTCCTCTCCAATACACCGACGTTTTCCCAATGAGAAAATCATCACGCTACTAGTAAGATCTTTATTGATGAATCCATTCTCATCCAGGAACCTTGTTGGATCAAAATCCTCTGGGTTGGACCATTTTGCTGGATCGTGATTCACTGACCACTGGTTAACAAAAATCACTGTGTCCTTGGGAATGAGGTAGCCCATTATGAAGGTGTTGGTTGTGGTGGCATGTGGGATAGTAACAGGCACAAAGCTGCTGAAACGCATGGATTCATACAAGAAAGCCATGATGTAGGGCAAGTGAGGCTGATCTTCAGCACATGGCAGACGGTCTCTTCCAACAATCCTATCCACTTCTTCTTGCATTTTAGCCTGCACATTCGGATACCTGTCATTTAAAGTAAGATGCATGTGCGTACATAACACTTCCGAAAGATTTTCTTAGAAATAACCCCTGCTGTAAACATTTTTCACAGAACCTCACCCCTACCCTAAATAATGCAGTTGGAGCAACGTTTAAATATACTGCAGGAACGTGTAGACCTTGATGGAAAACTTTGAGAGAAAAATCCAAACTTCCCATGCAGTGGTGTCATTTTAGATTTGCTTAGTTTTCACTTTAGTATCACATGTAACGGATTCTCAACATAAAAAATGAAACTAACTTAAAATGTGCTGAAACTGAATATTCTGATGCAATTTTGAAAATTCATTCTAAAACTAAAATTACTTGTCTCCTCTAAATATCGGGCTTTCCGTGGGAACAAGAATTTGGTTTTCCGGCTCTGTATGTGACTTCTAAAAGTTAGCATGGAGTTTATTATCACTAGACATACTGCATACATGTGAAAGTCTGCAGGTTTTTAAACTGGAAAAAATCCCTGCTAATAATTGCCAGAACAGTTTTATGAACATCCCAGCCTTGGGGATGTTTGTGTGCACTTTTTCTAATTAATATCAAAATATGTTTTCTTTATAATGTATTTTAGGATGACTGTCTTGAAGTCTGGATAGTTTGGAAGACTACACAGTAACCAAACAAGATCAAAATATTCTTAAGTTTTGCTTATTTTCTTTTGCCTGTCTAAAAGCACGCGTTCCTCCAAGGAGCCTTTATTTGCTTTAAATATTCAAGTTTGGCTTCTGTGTCCTTGCCTCCTCCCCCTGCAGCAGATCTGCATGTCGAATGCTGGGCAAATGTAAGAAGTGGGGAGAAACCCAGCAGGTTACGTGAACACTGGGCATCATACCCGTAGCTCGAAGCGTTAAATATTTGCCTGTTTTTCAAGAAGCGGCTGAGCAGATAATGTTTGCATAAGCCTCCAAATGATGCAGACGATGAAAGAAAAAGCCAAGACAGGCAAGGAAATCAGTGCTATGCCTCCTTCTGTTAAACCACCTCCCCGAGCTGAGATTTTCCCCCTCGAAGGGCTGGTGCCAGGGCAGCGCGCAGAAGGGGGGTGCGCTTGCACCCGCCGGCTGCCCAGCGGGTCTGCCTTTCCCCAAGTCACGCCATGGCGACAGCGGCACGCACTGCTGGCAAATTAACATAATAGCGGGTTTGTAAACCGGTGCAAGAACTCTTTATCTTGCTTAAGCAGTTGTTATCCTGTTCCTATGATCTCCTTGATCTTGACCTGGTAAAATCTGCTACTTTCGGGTTTTATTCGGCTGCCTTTTTGCCAGCCTCTCTTTATGCACCATTACCCGACCGCCCCGCCAGAGTAGGTGGTTGTTTTTGTCGGTTTTGTTTTTTCTTTTTTTAATCCTTTCTTATCTTTTTCTGGCGGGTTTCCCAGAGCTTCCGTGTTAAGTTAATCGGAAGCCGCTGAGGTACCCCGGCACCACACGGGCCGGCCGGTCCCTCCGACCCTCGCCCCAACGGCCGCCGCCGGCGGCGG